GTACTTGTTGTAGTAGTTGTCGTAGACGAAGCAGATGTGCTTGTTGTGGTAGACGAAGTGGTTGTGCTTGTTGTGGTAGATGAAGTGGTTGTGCTTGTTGTAGTGGTTGTGGTACTAGTAACGGATGTGCTTGTTGTCGAAGACGTGCTAAATTACATGAATAATTTGTTGAATATCTCTTTAGAAAGAATACTTCATCTTACACTGAGTCAGTTGTTGAAGTCGACGTATCTAAAAAATATCATAATCAAATAATGAATAAGTGATATTCTATCTAAGGGTGTGGGTGGGTTATGAGATGATAGACACCCACGCCCACCCTTGTGCTAGTTTTTTCTCTGATATTTGATTCGTTCTTTAAAAAACACACAGCTTTTATAAAGTACAGTCACAAAAAACTCTAACATTTAAAGAATGAGAATCATCTGTCACCTGAATCCCGAAAGTCTCATAAAAATTGAAATATTATAGCATGTGATTTTCAGAATATTAAACTTACTATATGATTCAATATTTATTATTTCTATCGATGATTGATTGATAAATATGAAAGTAGAATTTAAATTTCGTTTAATTAACACAGAACTAATATTATAATCAAATAATTGACAAGTTTGATTTGATGAAAAATAATTTAATGCAGATATTAATCCATTCAATTTACTCATTTCACATATACATTGGTCATAGGTTTGATTAAATAATGAGTATTTAACATTGCCAATCATAATATAATTCTCTATTTTACCAATAGTTATAGAATCGCTGCCATCAAAACATAATAAAAATATAGCAAGTATCCACAACATATTTTATTGTTTAAACTGTTTGAATAACTGTTACTATTATTTTTCTTCTTGTAGTTTTTCTGAAACTCTTTCTCACTATATTTTAATATTTAATTATGAAAAGAAACTGTTTGATATTTTACATCAAGATGTTTGCCAGAGAAACAAAGTCTGTTTCATAGCTACATTATACATACAACGTGAAATTATATAGAAACGACAAAAAAAATATTTACTTAAAATTCAAAAATGATAGTTTTTAATTTGATATTCAAACCATCATTATAAAAATCTTTTTGATAAACAAAAAAATAAATAAGCAGTAGTAGTTTCTGTAAAAGTAACCATCGGTTTCTAATGAAATTGCTCTTTATTTGAATATTCATCATATATCATGAAAGGAAGAAGAAAAAAGCTTTAATAATTAAATGCCTACTTCGTTTATCAGGTCATTCATATGATGTATAGAATGCAAAAGACAGAGAACACTTTTCTGATTAATTCATTCACAATAAACGCTCTATTTTTAAACACTTTTTCTATATGAATAACCTATCATATAGTAAACTATCCAATCCGCACAAGCGAATTTTTAACTTTATCTTGATGAGCACTCCTTAATTCTCAAATGTATGTATTGACTTTATCAACGTAATCATCAATAGAGAGCATTACTAGAATAAATTACATGATTAAAACTTAGGAGGTAATTATCAGCAATTTGATTGGCTCTGAAACTGGATTCAAAGAAATGAATATATTAATAGTTATAAAACTAATTGATATTCATATATATTAAACAAATACCATTATTATCAGAGGATGTGAATGTTTTACGCATCTTTTACACCCACATCCACCCACCCTCAAGAAAGAAATCCTTGATTGTACTTAAAAAATCAAATTTTAATTGTATGATTTTTACATCTCTCAAGGATGTATCTATGATACTATGTTCAATAAATATAGGTGTGATTTATTGTCATTCGTTAAGTTTTAATAATAAAAAAACTATTTTCCATATCTATTGAAAGATATGTTCTGTCTAGCTCCGAAAATTAATATAAAATGTATTCTTTGTATTATAAAATATTTCTATGATAACTTCATAGATGCTAATATTCGATTGCAAATTATAGTTTCGTTTTGATTCTATTTGAAGACTTTATTAAGTCATTTTTCAGTTTCAAATTGGTATAATCTAGTTGTTTTTATGAATAGAAGAATTTTTGTATTATCGAAGAAATTTCATTTAAAACCAGAACATAAAATTATTTTATTCATATCGTTGTGAAAGACTTAATATGTTAAATTAAATACAAACACAATGAACGATATAGACATCTATATTCAACCAATAAATGACAAGTATATTTCTACAACAACAATGTCACTTATTTATTTCAAGGCGAAGTTATAACTAAATGAATCAATGTTAATTTTCAAATTTTCCTTGTTTTATAACACATATTTTTATCTTGATGCAACTGTGCAATAACATATGGAATATATTATTATTCATTGGCTTTTTCGTTTTTATAATATTTATTTTATTATTATTTGACAGTAAACTGAAATCTTCATTGATATTCAATAATAAAATACAATCTTCATTACCTCGTCGTTTTCTTGCAATTGGTGATTCATTAACTGCTGGTTATAGTGATCGTGGTTTATCTTTTCATTCATATTCGATTAATTTAACAAATTTATTTTCATCTGTTCATATTCCAATAATTGTTGATCAACAAGGTGTAACTGGTGAACATGTTGTTCCAACAATGATGAAAAGACTTGAAAGAATTTTATCAAATAAAACTAAATCATATTATGATTGGATAATTATATTAGGTGGAACTAATGATTTAGCTTATAATAAAAACGCTGATAAAATTTTTAATGAAGGTTTAAAACTAATGTATAATATGGTTCTTCAAAATACAAGATTAGCTGTTATGACTGTTATAGAAAATGGTCATTATTTACCAGAACATAAACAAGATAAAGAAAGACGAACATTAAATACAATGATTAGAAATTTTACTGAGAACTATGAAGATAAAAAAAGAATTTGTCTTATTGATCTTGATAAAAAGATTCCATATCATAGTATGAAAGATATTAATCAAAGAAAAGCTATTTGGGATGATCCTATTCATTTGAAAGCTACTGGTTATGATCAAATGGCAAAATTTATTTTTGAAAAACTTTATAAAAAAATAAAGCAATAAAAATCTTAAATAATTATAGTTATGGAGTAATTAAATATGAAAAGAATTCATTTACTTAATGGTTCCTCATGAAAGTTTTTCTTTTTTTTTGTTCTGTTGTGAAATATAATATTCAACTGTTCTTATCTTTACTTTTACTTGTTTTCTGTCATATATTGAGTCACTTTTATTTTATATAATACACACATATTTCTCTTGTCTTCATATTTATCTTAGCATTTATGAATAGAAAAGATAAAGGTGGAACAAATTGCCCAATATGAAAGTAATAATATCGGGTGAAAAAGTTTTCGAAGATTCTAGAATGAATAAGCTTCACTTTCCTACTCATTTTTGTGTGCTCAAAAAGTAAATACATTTTCGAATCGGTCAGTGTGTCCGTCCGTATACACGATAACTTTCGAAAGGGAAAGGTAGATTTTGATCAAAATTTTCTACATAATTCAGTCTCATCAAGATCTCGATCGAGTTTGAAGTTGAGCCATTCCCGAGTTATTACAAAAATACTGATATTTCCATATACACTTTCTGCAGTACACACAATTTTATCTTTGAAATTTGTTTTCTTATTTTTAATTCTTGGTTAATGTTAATTTAACATCAATGAGAAAAATAATAATTTATTTGTATTGTAAAATGTTTCTGTAAACATAATAAAAATATTGTAATTATCTTTTTATTGAAATTTTCGAGAAAACAATTCCAGCAACTTTGTCCCAAAGATCCATAAATACGTGTCCACCAAACATTTCTCTTAACCGAATATATTCTTTATAATTATAGCAACTCCAGAATTCTTCTCTATCAAGATAAATATGTGCATATAAAGCCAATTTTCCTTCTAATTTTACAACTAATCTTTGTAAATCTAAATTCGATTGAGGAAGATCTTTGGCCACTCCATAAAGACCAATATTCATAACGAAAGGTGTATTCGGTTGAGCAACACTAAAAAAACTTTCATCAGTTCCATGACAACGAACAGGACAAAGCCAAATCATATTGAGATCTTTGCTAATTGCCCAATTAATAATTTCTTCTGCACGATCAGGTAGAACATCAACATCTTGAATCATTCCCGTTGATTCACGTTTTTGATCAGACGTGAGCATAGCTATTTTATAAAGTGTTTTAGTTTTTAAAAAATGATTTAGAAGACAAAGAAGATATGGTCTTCGGAAAATAAAGCCAATTAATGGATCCGTCGAAGCTACTTCTGCAGCAGCCCAAAATGCACCTCTATCATGACGAAAAAGATAATCAAGTGTTGGTATATAATCTTCATAAAGGATAGTTTCATTATGATCATTTGTCATTTTCTTCTTAGTTAAAATATTCTTCACATGTTGGTAGAAAAAAGATGAAAACACCGTTTCTTTATACATAGATGCGTTCGATGGAATAACAGAAACACATCCTCCATACATAGCTACAATTCCATTCATCGTTTGATTTTTTCCACAAAAATGAATTGCATCTATACCTTGATTATCACCAATCCAACCAGTATTCGTTTGTATAGAAATTTTCTTTTCAATATCATTTAAGAAATTTGATAAATCAGGATAAAAAACGTATCTCAAATGAATCCATTCAGTAGCTTGAACTAATCGAATACGAGCTGCAACAATTAATGCTATTGTACCATTTGATCCTGGTAGATTTTTCCATAAATCAGGAACTTCCGATGCATAAAGAATATTTCCATGACCAGTAATTAATGTTGCTTCGATAACAGTTTTATCGAAAGTACCATATTTCCAAGAAGTACTTTCAATACCTAGACCTTGAATTGCTCCACCAATTGTTATTGATTTAAATTCAGGAACAACTGCAGGTAATAGACCATATTTTATTGTTGCTTTACAAACTTCTTCAAATGTAACAAGAGCTTCAACTTCAGCATATTCTTCATGTTGATTGATTTCAATAATTGAATTTAATGACGATATGTTTATTCTATATTTTCCATCTTTATAAGCTGTTGATCTCGTTGAATGTCCCTCACCTGATTTTCGATCTATGACGATTTGTACAGATGGATTATGATTTGTAATAGAACGAATTTTTGTTGCAATTTGAGTTATATCAAGTTTATGTTGTTGTTGAGATTTAAATCTTACGGGAGTAGAAACATTTTTATTTGTTTTGAATATTAAAAATGGAATTTCACATAATGAAATAAATATATCAATTATAATTGAAAGAATAATCTTTAATTTTTCCCAAACCATGACTGAATATTTCGTTTTCTTCTTTCAGATCCTTATCAAATCGACTTTAATACTGATGAAATTGTGAAGAAAGAAAAACTATACAAAACATATTTTTTCTTATTCGTTAAGTCAACCGTGCATTTTTCTTATCATACGAATAAATAAAAATACACATATCGTACTTGATAATAAAAGCATGCTCTCTTCTTTTTCTACGACACTATGTAAAATACACGTGTTAGAAAAAAAAAATCATTTTTTTACCTGTAATAATTGTAAATAACACAAAACTCATTGAAAAATGAATTCGTAAAATATGATTTAAATCAAGAGCAAAGTTGAATGTTAAAAATAAATAACGATCAACTAAAAATTATGAAATTTCATCTGTATGCCAGTCGTCTCTATACTATGGAAAAAGATATTTAAAAAAATGAAAAATACACAGAAAATATTATATGAGCAGTATATTAGTATGGTTACTAGGAGCTATCTTTATTACATAATGATACTGGTGAAAATCTTATTGGCAAAATTCGAGAATCCCGTTTTTTTTTTATAAAAATTCTTTTATCAGAACAAAAGAAGTAGAAAATATTCTGATTCTCAACCAAATCGTATTCTTCTTGAAGTCTACTACAAGAATATAAATGCAATTCGTTTCTATGAGAAATGTGGATTTAAATAAGTTGGTAATCATATGTCAAATGCAAAATAAATCTTTGAAAATCATTTATGATATTTATGCAAAAACTATGGGTCAGTCGAAGATCAATATTCTGTTATAAAATACTAAGCAGGAAGGTTATGTTGTCTAGAAATGTTGAAGGAGGGTATGGGTATTGGTATCTTTGCTCTTTATCAACACCCTCAAGATCCATCATCACAGCATATCTAAAGAAAGTTTTCAATAGATTAAAAAATGTCGTAAAAGGAGGAAATATTTTTCATTGTTTATTATGCACTACTGATTAATACTATTATAATTAAAATGAAATGTTTTTATTTTGATTGTGGATATCTCTGATTTATCTAAGCTACATCGATACTTTTAATATCCTTGTTGTAAGACAGCCATCATGCGAGGTAAGACATCAATGAACGAGGCCTTCCAACATGCCCAATCATGTTTTCCATCACAACCATGTCCAATTGATTGTCCATCTCCATAATCATCGAAATAAACTGGAATATTCAATAATACTAATAAATCACGTAAACGATAACAACCAGGAAGAAATGTCGAATCCGTATAATCATTATTACAATTATACAATGCTATATGTATGTCACGTAGTTGTGCAGCTCGAGTGATTGTATCTTGTGCAAACCATCCATTTGAACTCAATGGTTCAGAAGGATAACCAAATGGACCAACAAGTGGTTTATCATCGATTGTTGTTAAATGTAGAATAAGATTTTGTACTTGTGGATCAAGCAAATCAAGAGCACCAGAAAAACTAGCAGCATAAATAAAATTATACGAATATAATTCTGCATAATGAATAGCACCATATCCACCCATAGAAAGACCAGCTATAGCACGACCTTGTTTTTTAGCTACTGTTCGTAAATTAAAATCAATCCAAGGAACTAATTGTTCCATATGAAATATTCGCCAATTTTGCGGAGCAAGACTACCAGGAATCATCCAATTAGTATAGAAACCAAATGGACCACCGTTAGGCATGACAGCAATTAAAGATGTATTACCAATCACATCTTGAGCTGCACCTGTCCAAGCTGTGGCATCAGCATATGCACCATGTAATAAATAAAGGACAGAATAACGATGATTATTACCACTGGTAGAATAATTTTGTGGGACAAGTATTCGAATCGTTTGATTACCAAGCACTTCATTTGATGATACAACTACTTCAAAAAGTTCATTACTAAGTTGAGTGGAAGAACATACTGTTAGACCAAAACCTGAGACAAAATTGGGTATATCACTTGTACAGTAATTAATTATATTGCAGAGAGCAAAAGCAAGTTTAATAAAAAAGAAACTATACCTCATGATTGTGTCTATAAACACATCTGTTTTCATATATATATTCCGTGTGGCAGGTGTTCTGATTGTCATAGAATCTTTTCATATTGTAATACTCAGTGGTAAGTAATATTGTTCTGCCTGTTTCATACACCAAAAACTTGATCTGAGTGAAATTTTCAAATGGTGTACACCTTCACGTTCGCAAAGATAATACACTTTCTCTATCAGACTAAAGAGAAAAAAAGTTTCTTAAAATCTATTACAATGAATTACAGTATCTTCCACGTGTTTTTATGATTTCATGTTACATACTATGATAGTGATTCATTTTTCTGCTTGTTCGTTTCTTCATAAATTGTGAATCAGAATAATCTACTAACGCATGTCTAACAATCATGAGATATACCTTATCTACCTTAGTATTTTTTTCTTTCAACATATCTTATGTGTTAAACAACATTCTCTTATATACGTAATTATGTCAGCCGAAGAAGAAAACTATATTAATTCCCAAATTCAACATGCACTGTTAATGCGATATAGTCATATCTCGTTAAATATTACGGGCGGAGAACTTCATGGTACACATAAGAACGGTTATTATATCTATGATTACATTCCAAAGGAGGATACAAACTTTTGTGGAACAATGCGTTTTATCTTCAACAAAAAAATTTATCCACAAGCTGATACTGAAGAAAATATCACGCAGAAATTTAACAAAATCGAGAGTATGAGTTTACCATGGTCTAAAACTGATTGTGATATTTTACCAGATGAGTGGA